TGGACGCGAAAGTCTACGAGGGCCGCCCCCGAGTCCCACCAGCCCTCTGGGCGTGGGTGGTTCCGGGAATTTCCTCTTCCATCTTCCACTTCCCCTTCGGGGAGGGGTTTACCCCTCCCCCTAACCCCCTCCCCTGGACCTGGACGGGGGGTTTCGCTGGTAGTTAGAGCGTCCAACACGGCCTCGGCGAGGAAGCCAACATCATCGGTTTCATTGCGGTTTTGGCACCATTTTGGCCTCTTGGGGGGGCTGTGCTAATTGACCCCGCCCTCTTCTTTGATCGATCGCCTCCAAGATGGCCCCGAGAGGCGCCCAGGAGGCCCCAAGAGGCGCCAAGATGGCCCCAACATGGCCCCAAGAGGCCGCCATGAGGCCCCAAGAAGCCCCCAAGAAGCTCCAAGAGGCTCCCAGGATGGTTCCAAGAGGCCTCCAAGGGGCTCCAAGAGGCCGCCATGAAGCTTCAAGGGGCCCCCATGAGGCCCCAAGAGGCCTCCAACAGGCCCCCAAGAGCCCCCCAAGAGGATCCCAAGCGGCCTCAAGAGGCCCCCCCGAAGCACCCAAGACGCCCAAGAGCCCCCATTGACCGCCAAGACCCCCAAGACGCCCGAAGAGGCTTCCAAAAGGCTTCCAAGAGGCATCCGAGCGGCATTCAACCATCCACCCAGCGTCGTCATTCTCCTCATCCCTCCTTCGCTCGGTTCCTCGCCACCCTCTCATCTATCCATCTGGCCTCCTCTTCCGCCTCACCCTTTGCACGGATCGGCTGTCCCTCTCGTTGCTCCCCCACTTCCCTGATCTCTTCAACTTGCCTGGACATCGTTTCTGGATGGGCTGGTGGGGGTACTTTTTGATTAGCGGCCCGCAAGGAAAAGTCCAGAGGGCGTAGGGACTGGTGGGGATGCGCGAAGCGTCAAGAGTTCAATTGTCTTTCGTCTTCGAGGTTCTCGGACTTAGCGCCGGGGAGGGACATTATATACGATGCCCCATCGGTGTGGCGCCCGCCAATGTTCGCTCCAAAATTGATCACCGCTGGGGGGAGGCTCTCATGGCAATGGCCCTTGCCGGGCCTCCCAGGCCGCGCTGCAGGGCAGCGGCCTGGCGGGAATGAGCCCTGGAGCCTGTGGCCGCGTTGATCCAGACGTGCACCTCGCGAACGTACTCGCGGAAGGGCACGTTGCCGCTCGGGCCCCAGCGAGGGCTGGCAGCGCGCGCGTCGCCTGCGCTTCCCTGCGCGCGCCCAGCAACACATCCGAGAGCGACCCAACATATCAAATATAGTAGCGTTGATCCAATGGCCTCGTAGGTCGGCGTCGGTGGTGGGTCGTTGCTGTTCATTAGCTGACGTCGCCGTCAGCTTGCGAGGAGGTGCAGGAGGCGCGCGTTCATAACGCATGTGACCATGCATAGCGTCTTCGAAGATGTTGCCAATCGGCGTTGGCGGGTGGACTTTAGGAGCATAGTAGCGCAGAGATGATGGGCTCAGGTAGGAGACCTCTGCACAAGCAGGGCTGCAGTGCAAGTGTCCTTGCGATGGCCTTGGCCCTCTCCGCGCAGAACCACTGCGCCCTGATGGCCCACCAAAACATGAATCCACCAGATAGCGCGGTGGATAGCAAGAAATAGAGCTAGAGCTGGCCACCAGCGGCCAGTTCCGCGACCAAGTTTATAGCGGGGTGGTAGGCCTGACCATGCACGGCGTCTTGGACGCAGCCACTTACTCGGACTGTCGCATCGAGGTAGTGATAGGGCAAGAGAGAAGAGATGACCGCGTAAGCGGCGGGGGGGTCGCATCTCAAGAGTGTGGGGTGGAACTTTGTCCGCGTCGATGCCGCGGAGCGCGTCGGGGCGCGACGCGGTCGCGTGGGCGGTCGGGCCCTTGGGTCAAAATGACAGCGGCCAAGCGCTCGCTACTTCTCGCCTTTGCGCCTCCTCCTTCAGTGCTCATCATCGTAATCGTCGTCGTAGTCATCGTCGGCGTCGGCATCGCCGGCATCGTCGTCGTCGTCGCCGCCATCATCATCGCCATCATTAACAGCACCATCACCATCTCGTCGTCGTTGCGCCCGACATCGGGATTGAGAGGGTCGTCGTCGGCGTGGAACCAATTGCCGCCGTCGCACGCGCATAGCCCGCATGCCCAGTAGCTGAAGCATCCTACTTTTTCGGTGGCCACCCCAAAAACATGGAAGATGCTGAGTGATAGCTGTGTCAAGATATGAAAGATTCGCCACCGTGCCTCCTCGCGGCGCGGAGCGGGCGTGTCCCCGGGCCCCCTCGCTCCCGTCTGAGCCCCAGTCCTCACTCCTGAGGAATCTTCGAGCGGTCGAGGCCCTTCGACCCGAAGCTTCTGGGGCGCGGCGCGGTTCCCCGGGGCCGCGGCGCGGTCTGTCGCGTGAATCTTCGAAGCCTTAGATGGCCCGCGGGCGGGCCATCGGATCTCCTGGAGGCCCCCGCAGCGGCCAAGAAGGCTTGCGAATTCGTCGAGGCGCCCCACGAGGCATCCGAGAAGGGCTCCGATGGGTAAAATCGATGTATCTTCCGATGGTGTTCGAAGGTGTTTGGCCCCCTGGCCGCCCTGGCCCCCCGACGCTCCAAGGCGGCCCCAAAAAATCGTCAAACCGCCCCGAGACTGCCGAAGAGGTCGCCAAGACGCCCCCCAAGACGGCGCAAGGAAGCTAAGACGGCCCAAGAGGCGCTCAAAACAGCCCCAGGGGCCCCCAGCACGGTCCCAGGTGGGGCCCCGCAGCGGGGCCACGAAACCGAAAGTCGAACCGCCCGCCCCGACGGGGCCCCGGGAAGCCTTCGGGGGCCCCAGGAGGCCCCCGAAAAGCTCCCGAGCGGCCCAGAACAACCCAGCAACCCTCAGATCACTGCGCAGAAAACGCTCGGATAACCGACTGAGGTCCACCCAGACAGACCCGCTCGCAGAGCCCACCTCCTTGCAGAATCCCCCTTAGCAGATTGTGGGCTCAGCCTGTCCTCTCGCGGGCGCGGGGGCCCGTGCCCCGGCGGGAGGCCCCCGCGCGCGCCCCCCCCCGTCTCTGACAGCTCGGCTGGCGCATGCGGGGCCGCGGGCCAGCGCGAGGCAGAGGGGCCCGATGGGGCGCGCGCCGCCGTCGGGCTCGCCCAATAAGACCACGCTGGTCAAGTGGATGCCCCCCGGGGGCCCGAGGACCCACCTCGGGTGGACGCCGCCCCATCCAAGACCACCTCAGGAACATGTATCTGGCAGGCCTTCAAAAGACGCTCCAAAGACATGGCTTCCAGGGGTGCTTCGTCTTCGGGCATGGTCCACTGGGAAGGGCGCTCGCCCTGCCGGCCAGTCACTTGCCGCAGAGGGGCCCGCTCTTGCAGGAGAGCAGCGAAAGCGCCCGCACTTACCGACGGCGCGCCCTTTGAATCGAGAAGGGAAGTCACATTGGATGTGATTTTCTTTGCAAGCCTGTGAGCTGCCCATCCTCGGTCCTCGGCGCTTCGCCCTCCATTCCTGCGCGGCAATCTTCGAGTCCTCCCGCCTCCTCTTGGCCACCTCCTCCTGCTCGCCCAAGGCGTCGCGGGCGGGCCGGCCGCCCGCGGCGATGACGTCTGCGCAGAAATGCAGTTGCTCAGATAGCAGACAGAGTCAGCAGAGAACAGGCCCACGTCTGGCACCATTGTCTTCAGGCCCCGACTCCGCTGTGACAAGACACAGCGGCCTTCGCGGCCGCCTTCGCCGACCCTCGTCTGACGCGCGCGCCGGCAGACAGCAAGGTGCGAAATCCACGAGGGGGTCGCTCGAAGAAATCTTCTCCCCGGGTCAAATTTCCCGGGCGACCGCCAGAGAGACCTGCTTCGACCTGGGCCCATTGGCTCCGCGCGCGCAAGCCCTGGGCCCCCGAGGAACACCGCCGTGAATCTGCGCGAGGCGTTGCTCCGAAAACCCAAGTCACCCCTCGGCCGCGGGCCGAAGACTGGCGGAGAGCCGACCTCCGATGACCAGATGTGCCGAGTGGGGGCCTGCTGAGGGCCCGTCTGACCAGCCGGTTGATCGCGGGCGCGTGGCTGTGCTTTGTCAGTTTCGAAACAACGGGCGCGCGCGGGCACGCGGGCGCGCGGTCCAGGACCCCCTCGAGGCCAGCACCTCTGCAACCCGAACGAAACGAGGATCCTACCCCCGTCGGCCACCTGCTGGACCTCCGAGACCTCCCCGTCCATGATCACCCAGTCATCCATCAGCCCAGTCTGAGCCTGCGCAAGGAACTGCTGGGCCTGCCCGGGACCAGTGACCCTGCGCGCGGGGCCCTCTGGGGCCGCGAGCACCCCTCGCACCTTCTGTGGCCACCCAGACTCTGCGAGCGCGTCAGGCTGGAAATTCAAGCCCCTATCGGAAAGCCCGCGGTCTGTCTTGGGCCGCGAGATAAGTGCCCGCCGCCTGCAGTGACGGGCACAACGAGCTCCTGGCTCGACTTGCCACTACTCCACTCGCGCACTCCTCGAAAACAGCGGTCGCTGTGGGCGCCGACCGTAGTCGCGTGCGCACTGCAGCTGCCGCTCCTGAACTGCGCTGCAAGCCCCTGACCCCGCGCTGTGCACTCGCCCGAAAGACAAAAAGTGGCCATGCCGCTTTCCTCAACTCATCGCGGAGACCTGTTTTGTATCACTCTTGGTCCTGGTCTTCTGGACGCAACAAACCTGCGGAAGAAGGGGGCGGGGCCCGCCGCGTTTCCTTTCGCATGCCATCCACTCGATAATCGCCTCGAACGTGGAGGAATTCACATTCATCTGGGCGGTCTCGAACGAGTTGGCAGCGACGGCCCGCGGTTGCTTTCGAGATTCTTCAGCGGCAAAAAAAACAAAGCAACAGCTGGTGGCGCGTGAACCTATTCAGCTGGAAGATTACATGCAAGCGGACCATCGCCACGCCTGTCGGATTTTAACCGAAACATTTTCATCACCGCATCGGGCTCCAGGTGTAACGGGGAGGGGCCGCCGTCGACGGCGCACTCGTCGCCGATCCACACCTAGCCGCCCCAGTGGACAGCGTCCCCGAGCAGCTCCCAGACGTACTCGGCAAGAGCCTGCCCGATCCAGATGGCGCCATTTGGGTCGACGTCGGCGACGACCCAGATCCAGCGGCCGCGCCTGTCGAGAAGGACACACAAGTACTAGATGAACATGTGGCCAGGAGGGCGTGACTTTCAGGGGCTGAATCCCTGCCCCCCCCTGCCCTCCGGGGCTCCACCCTGCGCCGCTGCGCCTAGCACAGGCCACTCAACCGCATCCAGCAGACCTCGTCCTCCAGCATCTGGTCAGCACCAGAACGGCCTGAGCCAGAACGGCTAGGAGGGAAAGATAGGGGGGAGGAGCGGGGGAGGAGAGGGGTGAGGAGGGGGATGAGGCGGGGGAGGAGGAGGGGGAGGGGGAGGGAGGGGAAGGAGAAAGAGGTGGGGGAGGACGAGAAGGCGGAGTCAAGGCGCAGGTCATGTGCCTCGCGCGGGGGGGTATTGGCCAACAAGCGCGGGGCAGCGGGGGGTGGGATGCGGCAAGGCGCGGCAAGAGGGGCGGATGGGCCGGCGGGCCCAGTCGTCGGCGTCTCCGCGGTCAGCGCAGGCATCGAGGCCGCCAACTGCCGGACCGCATCGAGGCCGTCGTCGGGGTTGGCGGCCTGTGGCTGGCAAGGCTTTGGATTGCATAGGTCACCTAACCCTCTTCGTCATCGTCATCCTCCTCGCATCCGACGCTTCTGTCTGTGATGCACAGCCACGCGTTTGGCCTGTATTTCACCCGCCCAGGCACGGGTTTGGCGTGTCTGCAGAGTTGTGCCAACGAGTCCTCCTGTCCTACTGAATGCATGTCTACACTGACACTGACTGACACTGAAGGTCTCTAACTTCGCGCAACGCGCCCCGCGATGCGCGATGATCTTCGCGCCCTAGCGACGCCCCCCGTGGACTGGAGACAGGCACACTCTCCAGCCCATGCCGCCACGCTCAAGGCGCCGCTACATTCGCGCCTTTGCGGTTGACCTACGACGTAGGCTGCGCACACAACAAAAACCCAAAACTCCCTCCCTTCCAGAAGCCTGCGGCGTCAAGAGAAGAGAGCCGGAACTGTCGAAGACATCCCAACTCGTCCAGAACCCTCTCTCATCCTCCTCCTCGGAGGTCGCTGTGCGTGGGGGGGGGGCGAGGACCCACGCGCCTGTCCGGCGGGCGTCAGGCCCACGACGGGGTGGCCCGTCTCGCTTGCGCTGAGGATAAAGAGGTCGGGGCGCTCCGCAATGACTGCCTCTCGGACGGCGAGCTGAGGAGGGAAGGAAAGGAAAAGGGAGGAAGGGGAGGAGAGAATTCCACCAGCCTTTTAGAGCGTGAGTGAATTAGGGAGACTCCTCTTCCAGCCCCCCTTCTTCCCCTTCGTGGAGGGGTCCGATTTGGGCCTCCTGAAGGGAGCTCTAACTGAGGAGCCCCCCTCTTTGGAACGATCTCCTCCAAGATGGCCCCAAGATGGCCCCGAGGCTCCTAAGGGTGCCTCACGACAGCCCCAAGAGGTACCCAGGGGGCCCAAAGAGGTCCCCAAGAGGTCCCCAGGAGGTCCACTAGAGGTCCACAAGAGACCCCCAAGACGCCCCAAGAGGACCCCCAGAGGCACCCAGGACGCCCCAAGAGGGGCCTCGGCGAGAAGGACAACATCATTGAGTATACTACGGTTTGGGCAACATGGCGATGGTTTGGCCTCCAGAGGGGGGGAGGGGGGGCTATTCCCACCAGCCCTCTGGGCCAGTGGTTTAGAGCGTTTCCTCTTCGACCCCCCCTTCGAAAAGGGGTTTACCCGTCCTCTTCCCTCCTCCCCATGGGTCTACACGGGAAGGAGGGGCAAGGGGTTAGAGCATCCAAAACGGCCTCGGCGAGAAGGTACACCTCATTGGTTTCCGCCGCGCCCTGTTTGCTTTCCACAGAGGTGCCTGGCGAGCTGAATATGATACGGCTTGGCTTTGTTTTTTCTCCAGCGAGCTCCTCCTGGGGGTTCGGTCCATGCCGCCTGCTGCCTGCCTCGTCGGCTTTGTCGCGTAAGATGGCCCCAAGATGGCCTTCCTGACGACCAAAATAATCCAAGATGACCTCCAAGATCGCCAACGATGGTCCAAGATGGCCTCAAAGACTGCCCAAAGAGGGTCCAAGCTGCATCGGTGTCCGCTCAAGAAGCCTCCAAGACGGCCCAAGAGCCCCCCAAGAAACCCCCAAGACGGCCCAAGAGGCCTCCAAAAGGTCGTTCAGAAGGGCCCGAAGAGGTCAACATCCGCCGACCCTGTCGGCGTGTGTGAGGGGCCTTTCCGATCGAGTCGTCCTCGCCGTCATTCGTTCGTCGTCTTTGTCGTCCTCTTTCTCTTCGCTTTCCTTTCCCTGTGCCCGTCGCCGCTCCTCTCTTCTTTCCAAGAGCTCTCCTCCCCCGGCTCGCAAGCGCCGCTTTTCTTGCTTCCTCGGCATCAGGTATCTGGAGAGGGTGGAGCTAGGGGGAAGAAATTCGTACACAGGCTCCTCTTTCAAGAAGCGCAGAGCCTGGTACTCCCGAGGCGCATGCCCAGTCGCACTGCGACTAGGGTCCTACATCCTCGCCTATACTTCGTTCCTCCGTCAGGCCCCCTCTTCCCGATACAGGCGGTCGAAGCACGCATCTATAGTATCTTTTAGTGCGGCGGTCTACGCACACATTTCTTGGCAAGATGGCCCTTGCCCACTCCCCTCCCTGCATCCCATAGTATTGCACGGCTTTGGCAAATTCACACCTCCCCTAAGGAGGTCTCAGGGAGATTGTCATGTTCCCCTAGACATGGCCTTGCACGGTCGCGCCTCTCCAGGCGTCCGTGCGCCATGTCTTTTGCCATGTCGCGCAGTCCTGGTCCAACGGGACTGCGCGGGGGAAAGGCTCGCACACAGGTTGTTACTTCTCAAAGTCGCGTAAAGCCATGCGGCTCCGCACTTGCCTCGTTTTCCCGAGGTGCTTCCCAGACGCACTGCGGCTGGATATCTGTTCCTGTCCTAGGATTCCCCTGTTCCTCCCTTTCCCTGAACGGGGAACTTCGACTTTGCAATCTCACACCTCCCCCCGGGATTACAGCCTCCCCCAGACGTGGCCTCTGCATGGCCTCACCTCCTCAGTCTCCCATGCACCATGTCTTACTTGCACGTTGGCCGAAGCAGCTTTTTCTCCGGTCAACCGCCTGCCTAACTAGGAGATGGGGACTGCAAGCCATGACTCTAAAGGAGGCGCGGTTTCAGTCGCCTTCCTTTATTCCATCTACCTGTTCGGTTGTGGGCCTTAGCTGCACCCCCTCCACTTGCTCCTCCTGTAGATTGATGATGACGATTTCTGTCCTCCCCTCTTCCTCGATTCGTGATAGCCATATCGCCCCTCTTTGCAGCCTACTCCGGCACCTTTTGACGCACTCTTGCTGCTTCAGGGCTTGACTACACCAGTCATCCACCTTTTCGTCACAGGATAGCAACACTGTGGCCTCTGAATGCAGGCGAGTGCACGTCTCAGCGTTGTTAGCTGCCGTCCCTGGCTGTTGGCGCTTGTCTTTACATCGCCATGGCCGCCCCCACTATTTCTTTATTACGTCTCCCCCTTCCCTTCGCACGGCAACCACCCGCTTACTGGAGGATATTCCACGTCGGCCTCCGCAGGAAAAAACTCACGCGTGCAACCTTGTTTCGGTAGCCAGCGGCGCGTGGCATCCATTCACGCCGCCTTAGACGACATGGCGGCGTACACTTGTTGTAACGTCAGGCTAAATCCAAAACGAGTCCTCCGCCTGCCCCTCCCCCTCCTCCTTCTCCTCCTTTTCCTCCTCTTCCTCCTCCTCTTCCTCCTCCTCCTCCTCCTCCTCCTCCTCCTCCCCCTCCTCTTCCTCCTCTCTCTCCCCTTTTCCTCCTCCTCCTCCTTTTTTCTTCCTCTGGTTACTCATCCATCCTCCCCCTCTTCGGGTATGACGGCGTGCCAGATGTTATTCCGCTGCGTGCCCCCTCATATGTGTGATCAGGGCATCTCGCCTGGGCATCGTTTCTGGGCGGGTTGGTGAGTTTACGCGAAGCATTTTGAATTTAAGCAGCTGCTGCGAGGTGAGATTTAGTTGTTCAATACATGGTGGATGGGCCACTTCTGCCCCAAAGCACTATACGCTATTAAAGCAAACCGCCCTCAAACACAAAACATTGGCACAACCTCTACGCAACGCCTTCCCGAAACCTTGCGCAACCCACATTGAACACAACTTGTGCAACAACCTGCTATTCCATAGTACCCGAAACGCGAAGCTTGATTACCCCCGTGCCCCCGCGCCAACCCCTGGAGAAAACCGATGAATCGCATGATGGCCGCGAACTGGACCAGGGACGGAGAACCGGCCCTCGACCCGAACAGGCCGAACCGGACCGGCCCTCGACCCGAACCGGACCGAACCGGCCCGACGAACCGAATTGGTCGGACCAAACCAGCCCGACGAACCGAACTTTCGGCGGCCCCTCCGCGCGAGGACAGAGCCCGCCTTCGGGTCCCCCGGGTCCCCCACGGACCACCCCACCAGCAGTCAGCCGCCCTCGTCCCCAGCCCAAAAGAGCCCCCAGAGGAACCCACGAAGGTTCCAAGAGGGTCGCTGCGGCCCCATGGGGGCGCCAGGCCAACCCCCCATGGCCACCCCCCTTGGCCATCCCCCCGTGACCACACCCCTCTGCCCCCCCCCGTGGCCACCCCCCCGTGCCCCCTCCCGTCTGCCCCCCCTCCCCCCCTCCCCCATGGCCAGCAACCCCTGGTGCCCCCCCTCCCCGTGGCCAGCGCCCCCTGGTGCCCCCCCTCGGCCACCCCCCTGGCCACCTCCCAATGGTCCGCCCCCGTGGCCACCCCCCTCCTCCCCTTCTTCCCTCCCCCTCCTCCTCCCCACCTCCTCCTCCCTCCCGGCGGAAAGACCCGCGGGCGCCAGAAATGGCCCCCTCTCCCCCTTCGCCAAGGGGGCCCGCGGGGACGCAGAGGGGGGGCTTTGATTTTAAAAACATGAATTACGCCGACACAACAATAGAGGAGGAGGAGGAGGAGGAGGAGGAGGAGGAGGAGGAGGAGGAGGAGGAGGAGGAGGAGGAGGAGGAGGAGGAGGAGGAGGAGGAGGAGGAGAGGAGGAGGAGGAGGAGGAGGAGGAGAGGAGGAGGAGGAGGAGGGGGAGGGAGGAGGAGGAGGAGGAGGAGGAGGAGGAGGAGGAGGGGGAGGAGGAGGAGGAGGAGGAGGAGGAGGAGGAGGAGGAGGAGGAGGAGGAGGAGGAGCGGCGGACGCGGGTCTCTTCCGCGCGCCCGACGCTCCATAGTCGGGAGCCGGCAGACGCCCCCGCCGCCCAACCCCAAGGGGCGGCACCCCCGGGGGTGACTGCCTGCGAAACATGCAAGCAGCTACTCCCAGGAGGGTGAGGGCTTCTGCCAGCCGGAGCCTCTGGCCAGCATACAAGGGAGCTCGTAGACGAACGCGACCTCCCCGGCCGCCGGCCTGCGCCTCTCCGCGGCGTCGCAGTCGTCGGTGCCCCCCAGTGGCGCCGCCCAGCCGCCGCAGCGCAGTCAGCGGCGCAGTAAGCCAGCAGCGCTCCGCAGCGGGCCCGCGGGCGCGGGGTCGCGCTGGCTGGCGGCCTCGCCAAGCGTCTGGGGCCTGCGGCCAGCTGGCCCGCGCTCTGCGGCCCGGGTGTCGCGCTCGCTAGGCGGTGGCAAGGGCGGCGCCCCCCTCGAGCGGCCTCCGGTGGCGGCGGCGCCGACGCCTGGCGCGCCGCCTAGCGCAGGCCGGCTGCCTTGCGGAGCTGGCGCGCCGTGGCAGCTTGCAGGCCGCAGCTCAGGACCTTGTAGGCCCGCGCCAGCTCCCGCGGCTGCTGTTCCTCAGGCAGGCGCCTTACCTGCCCGAGCAGCCAGAGGCGGGCCTCGGCGCCGAGCCGCCCCCCCGCCTCGAGGACGAAGGGCGTGAGCCGAGCGCCTGGGTAGCGCGCGTGCTTCTCGCGCTCGCCGTCTTGCTGGCCTCGCCGCCCCGGCGCGCGGCCACGCGCAGCTCGGCTGGCGCGCCGGCTGCGGGGCGGCGAACGGAGACGTCCAGCCACCGGGCCCCGTCGTCTTCCTGGTACTCCAAGTCCAGGATGGCGCGCTCGAGCTGGCCCTCTGGACGCTGGCGGTCCCAAGTCGGTACTCTCTGCTCGAGGAGGAGGAGGAGGAAGATCCGCGAGCTTCGGACCGCGCTGTCGAGCGGACGGGCGGCCCGCGCGCGCCCCA